AGCTGGTGGTGGTGTCTTTCAATAAAATGAATGTTTGTGCATCCATTCGTATAATGTCCATCATTGTTTCTGGATGGCCATTTAATAAGCTGAAGATGTAATCATCACATTTGAATGGACAAGTTCGCTGCGGTCGCCTATTACTTGATGCGTTGATATGGTCATGCATGAAAGCAATCATCAAAAAATCCATAAAGGCTTCAATAATCTCATCCTCCTCTGATAAGATTTTCATTGCATTGTTTTCTGTATCGGATGACATATTGTTTCGTCTACATTACAGTAAAAGCATAATTATAAAATAATGTTTGACAACATGCTAACGCTTACCATTATTGGTGAAACTGAATTAAAAAGTGGCTACATGAATAGTCGACCTTGGTCATTTACCAGCATCCACTAAAATATATATGAGAAGAAATTTTTTTTAATATGTAGTCATCTTGTAATAACACAACATATTGATGTAAAACAGAAACTATTTAAAAGTTCAATAAAAATAAACATACGAAGATGGAAAAAAAAAAAGCATCTCATGGGATGAAAAAAAATGATAAAAAACAAATCAGGAATCATCAAATCATCTTACAAAACGACAAGGAGAATCGCTAACTCAATCAAAACACAACTTCTCATTTCACTGCAAAGCTAGGATCATAGCTAGGCGCTTATGGGCAGGAGTACGCATAAAAAACCTTCGCCATTCCTTGTCTTTAAACAGTGTCAGTGCCTTAACGTACTGCACCGGTGGTATGTCCCCAAGCTCTAGCAATGCATTTTGACATGCATCAAGGGAATACTCATCACCACCTGCACTTACAACCTCTGTGTCAGTTGATCGTGCATGTGAATGTTCTGTTTTTGCCTGTACGTAGGATGTGAAAGTTGCACACACATCATCGAACCCACTTGACCGTGACTTTTTGGAACGACCACTGTCAGTCTGGTTGCTTGTAGGGCCCCTCTTGTGACTTTTACCCTTCGCTGGATCCATGTATTCATCGCCGAATAAGTCAACAGGAATGGCTTCAACAGCATTACTCCCACCAACTTCAGGGTTCCAAAATTTATTTAGCATTTCATCTTCTTCACCTGAGTCAATGGCTCCTTGTGTGGATGCATAAGACAAGGCCCTTGTGGCACAACAATTTTCAACAACTTCTGCTATTTCTTAGAAATACTCAAATCCTTTTGTCCTAAACTTCTTTACATTTTTGGTAGCCTACAACAATTGAAAATATTGAATTAAGCATACTGTACGTGTGATGAAATGTTACAAAAAAAAAATTGAAAATGGTACAGGTTAATGAAAAACCTTATCCTAAAATTCATCGGGTGCAACAACAGTGCCTATAATGGGATCCCATCCCAGACCACTCTGTGCCTGTAGTCGCTTAAACGTTTGGTAATCAACTTTCAATCGTTGATATTTTTGTCGCACTTGCTTTGCTGTATACCGAAATCCATACAGATTGTGCAACTGATTTGCAAAATGATTCCAATGCCTAATTGTCCACACAGTAGTACGACCTGTTGTTTGATTTTTTTTAACCTCTTCTCTCAACATGTTTATTAATTTCATTTCAATGCTGGGAGTCCACATTTTTGTATCCTGATTGTCATCTGAATTGTTTTCATTCATCTATAAACATACAATTTATATTTAAACTACTCTGGAGTGGATATAAAAAAATAACAGAACAAACTACTCTGGAGTGGATATAAAAAAAAAACAGAGCAAAAACCAATTAAAATTATTTACGTACGAATCAAAATTAATATTTATTTGAACTTGTTAAATAATGTTAGGAAAAGCAGATGGTTTGAAGGGCAGCACAAAAAAAAAAAAAAAAGGGCAACACACACAAAAAAAAAAAAAAAAACACATAACATTAATGTTTACTTGAACTTGTTAAATAATGTTAGGAGAAGTAGATGATTTGAAGGGCAACACAGAGACAAAATAAAAACCACATAATATCAATGTTTATTTGAACTGTAGGAAAGGCAGATGATTTGAAGCCCAAAACAAAGACAAAATAAAAATCACATAACATTGTCTGTAAAAAGTTTGTGAAGCAAGTTTACACAGTAAAAAAATAACCACAAATAAGCAGAAGAAGAAGACCACAAGAAGAAATAAGCAGAAGAAGAAGAGCAGGAGAAGAAAAGAAGAGAATGATGAAGGAGTGGAGCATGGAGGTCGACCAGTCAGATGACCCGAGGGACGACCGACTCACCTTCAACCGTTCAAAGAGTTCAAACAGATTAGAAACTATCTCTATACACGTTTGGACTTATGAGAAACCATTTTCGAACTCATTTGTACATAATAGATGATTGAGGGATATATGTACCAGATTAGTGAGAGTTGAATAGTTATCACCGGTGATGGAGTGGGTACAGTGACTGAATGTGCGACTCTTTGGTAGTCGTCTGATTTGAGAATAGGTTTGATAAATTTGACTTGAGACAAAAAAAAATTGGGAATAAAATTAGGGATGAATCAGAAAATCAGTTACTTGTAAGAAAATATTTGAAACAAATTTGTGATTTATTTGACCTCGGTGTTGTCGTTGTTTGGTTGCCCGTAGAATGAATCTTCCACAACGCACAAATTGTAACTCACTTAATTTGTGGGAGATGGTATGAGTAGGGAGCGGGTTCACAGACATAATTTATAAAATGGTCTGAGCTCACAATTAACACTACCTGTGACGAATCGTTAGCCCTGATCTTTGAAATAGAGAAAGACGAGTAGATCAGTTCACCTGTATATTTCTTTTTGCACGTGAACCTTTTCAGAGATGATGAGCATGGAAGCTTTTCAAAAAGGAAGAGGAAGAAGACTGAAGACGTTGAAAGTGGAGAAATGAAGAACAAAGCTGCTAAACGAGAAGTCGAATTGTATTTTGAATAATATGGTGAAATTCTATTTTGAAAGTCGTATCCAAACGTGAAGCGGGAGTGATAGGGTAAAAATGTAATTTGAAAACACATCCAAACAGAGCCATATATTCTTACCATACATCTTAATACATTTATTACACCATCACTGACTCTAAAAAAGTCACAAACTAGTAACATACCTTAACATACATTTTTAGGGGCCAGGCAAAATAGCAACCTATTTCCTAAACTAGGCCTAGTTTGGACGGAATTTCCAAACTAAGCTAAAATGTGGTTGTGAACCACGCTTTCACCGTTGTTGTGACCCTCCCGTAGAAAATTTGTAAAATCGTAAAAGCGTGGTTTTAAACAAATTTTTGTTTTTTTCATAAAAGCGTGATTCGTAACCACGCTTTTAAAATATATTAAAATGTGATCAAAATAATACTTGAGTTCTTTGTACCTCAAATGGTAGTACATTTGTTTTGCCTGGGAGAGGCGCGGGTTCAATCCATGGCATCTCCAAACGGTTGCTATTTTTCAAATTAAATTCAACTTTTTTTTTTTTCTTCCACTCACTCTCTACTTTATATATTTATTCAATCCACGACACCTCCAAACGGTTGCTATTTTTCAAATTAAATTCAATTTTTTTTCCCACTCACTCTCTACTTTATATATTTATTCAATCCACGACATCTCCAAACGGTTGCTATTTTTCAAATTAAATTCAACTTTTTTTTTTCTTCCTTCCACTCACTCTGTACTTTATATATTTATTATGTAATTTTTTTATGAAAAAAAAGTAAAACGTTTGTTTGGTTAACTAAAAAAATTCTCTAAAAAATTTAATTTTTTTCAAAATGTCAACATAATTGTTTAAAAAGTATTCAGTGTGTTTGGTTTGAGTTTTTTGGATTTAGTTATTCGAAAACTGAGTTTTTTTATTTTCGTATTTTTTTTGTTTTTAGTGAATATTTTTAAAATTTTAAACATTTTTTTTTTACTTTTTTAGATGTATCTTAGTTAGATGTATCTAAAAAGTAAAAAATTTGTGAAAAAATATTTTAAAAAATTAATAAATACATAAAAATACAAAAAATGTACTGAAAAAATGTATTTTGAAAAAAAAATACATTTTAAAAATATTCATTAAAAATATTTTTTCAGTACATTTTTTCTATTGGTGAATATTTTAAAAAATTAATAAATACATAAAAATACAAAAAATGTATTGAAAAAATATTTTTAGTGAATATTTTTAAAATGTATTTTTTTTTTCAAAATACATTTTTTCAGTATATTTTTTGTATTTTTATGTATTTATTAATTTTTTAAAATATTTTTTCACAAATTTTTACGTTTTAGATACATCTAACTAAGGTGCATCTAAAAAAGTAAAAAAAAAAATGTTTAAAATTTTAAAAATATTCACTAAAAATAAAAAAATACGAAAATAAAAAAACTCAGTTTTCAAATAACTAAATCCAAAAAATTCAAACCAAACATACTGAATATTTTTTAAACAATTATGTTGACATTTTGAAAAAAATTGTATTTTATAGAGATTTTTTTTAGTTAATCAAACAAACGTTTTACTTTTTTTTGATAAAAAAAATTACATAATAAATATATAAAGTATAGAGTGAGTAGAAGGAAAAAAAAAGAAGAAGAAGTTGAATTTAATTTGAAAAATAGCGCAACTGTTTGGAGATGCCATGGATTGAACGCGCGCTTCTCCCAGGCAAAACAAATGCACTATCATTTAAGTTACAAAGAACTCAAATATTATTTTGATCATATTTTAATATATTTTAAAAACGTGGTTAGAAATAACAATATTACTCTTTGATCAACAGTAAAAGTGTAGTTACGAACTACGCTTTTATGAAAAAACAAAAATTTATTTAAAAGCGTAGTTATAAACCACACTTTCTTGATTAAAAACGTAATTTGTAACAATCATTTTACAATTTTACAAATTTTTTACGGAAGAACAACAACAATGACGAAAGCGTGATTCACAACCACGTTTTAGCTTATCTTAATATGAGAAAAGTCTTCATTTTTAGATTCCACTTTTATCATTTTTTATCGTATAAGGCACTTTTTTAAGACAATATTTTTAACTATCCCACTGTGATGCTCCTGGTTTAGTCTCGAGGATCCGAGGGCCAAGTGGGCAACGACAAGTTCCCTCCAAAATCTAGGTAGAAAACCGCAGTGTTCTGTTCCTGACACGAATCATGCCATATTGAAATTCAAATTCAGCTGCTCCTCAAATCAGAATGGAGCTCTGCAACACCTTCATCGCCACCGTCAATACACCTCCCCCAAATCGCTGCCGTACACTCACGCGCCGCCCCACCATTTCTATCTCCGCCACCACTCCCGACTCAACCCACCACCGACTCAGACTGGCCGAGACCCTCCAAAACGAGACCTTGGAAACCCTAGAATGGCCCTCCCTGTGCAACCAAGTCTCCGCTTTCACTTCCACTGCCATGGGCCTCGCCGCCGCCCAGACCGCTCGTCTTCCGATAGGGTGGACCCCGGACGAGAGCCGCAAGCTTCTCGACCAGACTGCCGCCGCGGTGGCGCTTCCTCGGCCGTTGGATTTCTCCGGGATTGAAGATGTATCGCAGATTGTGAAATCTTCGGTTTCCGGTGAATTGGCCTCCATTAGTGAGCTTTGCGCGGTGAAACGGACTCTGCGATCGGCGAGGGAGTTGTTTGAGAAGCTGGAGGAGCTTGCTTTGCACGATGACGATTCTTCTGAAAGGTATAATTGCTAAAACTCTTGCTTCCATTATTAATTTTCTATATATATATATCTAACTGCATAGGCATGTGATGTATGGAATTCAATGCAATGCAATGCAATGTTTAATTTGATCATTTTTCTTAGTAAGTGTGTGTGTGCACGCTAGATTTCAAGTTTACACATGGAGTGATTTAAATGTATTCAAAGGCAGAACCAGAAATTATGCTTAGGGAGGGCCAAGGTGTGTGCGTAAATTTAGTTTTGGTACATTACTAATAGAGGTTAGTGGATTGAGAATCGATTGAGATAGTTTGGTCATATACAATGGAGACCGAGATAATAGTGAAGAGATGTCATACAACGATAATAGAAAGAAGTGTCAGGGGAAGAGGCAAATCTGGATTGATGTAGGTTAGTATAGTGAATAGAAATATGAATCTCTTAAATTTTATTAACCAAATTCTTAATTTGACTAATTAAATGGTCTTTGATAGAGTCGTGTGAATAATAAAGATTCATGTACCCGACTCGATTTGATGGGATTTAAGACTTAGTTTGGTTTGGGTTTGGTTATATTACTAACATAAGATAATTTCTTATGTTAGGGTTGTGAAAAAAAATTTATGATGATAAAAATAAATAAATCTAATATGTTTTTTTAAAAAAAAATTGTTTTCTAAAGTTTTGAATTATTAATAAAACCATTTTTTTGGTTGACAATATCTAGTAAATAAAAAGTATACATGTTTCTTTGATTTTTTTTATAAAAAAAAAAAAAGAAAAAAAACATACACGTCTTCTATAAATAAAAATGACTAGATTATATTGATACTATTTAGTGTGGAAAGTAGTTGAAGATCACCTTATTATACATTGTGAAAAATTAATAAAATAAAGAGTTAATAAAATGATTTATAAAAAGTTAGGAGGCAATATGAATATACATTTTAAAAATGTCATAAAATATGGAGGTATTAGCGTAATTTACAAGAACTTGGGGGGCCATGGCATCCCCATCCCTCAAGTTGTTTCGCCACTGAATGTATTACCCTTGTATTTTGCTGAATTATGTGAGGGAGGTTGCCATGTTGTGTTAAACAATTGTTTCTTTATGTTTGTTTTTGTCAGGAAGTGGTATCATAGATCTTAAAGTACCTTTGTGCCTTCAATCTTGAACATTGATTTTGTGCATATTGTTGATTGTTGCAATAGAATTGCCTTATCAAATTAGGGTTGAGGTTTTGAACAGTTGTATGCTAATTTGGTTAGTAAAAAACCTCTCAAAACAGGTTTTAGTTATTGAATGCTCATTTTTGGTCTCCAAAATAAACCGGGCCTGCTAGTGAACAACTTAGTTTGGCTAAGGAGCTCATTCAGGCTTTTTCACAACTTAAATGACATAAACTTAAGGTTTGAGTGCAAGTGTTTAGTAGCCAGGCCTAAATGACATAAACTTTGTTCAATTAGGTTTCTGAAAATTAACATAGTTGTTGGGCTATATATACAAAATAGCCCTCTATGAAATTTTACTGAAAAAAATGAACTCTGAATTGAATGTTGGCAGACGCAAATCAATTGAATTATGTGTTGGAATGTGTCCTATATTGTCTGGAGTTGTCCCATCTGTACTGGTTATAAGGTTCCAGTTTCCCTTTCCTTAATGCCTAGATTTTAAGGAGAAGTGTGGGTTGGCCTTTTCAATTTGGTATCAGAGTTTGGTTGGGCCTGTGATTGGTGTGCCGTTTGTTTGGCTATTGTATCTTGTGGTCTAGGAGGGTGTGTTGCAATGTGTCCCACATCGCCTGGAGTTATCCTATCTATGCTGGTTTAAGGTTTCAGTTTCCCTCTCCTTAACACCTGGGTTTTAAGGAGAAGTGTGAGTTGGGCTTTTCAATTTTGTGATGAAGAAATGGTTAAATAGTTTGATCATATTGTTTACTTTTGATCACTATGTTGCACTTATAAAGCTAGGAGTACTATGTTTTGAGACAACTCATACAAAATTGAGTGATGATTAGGTTATTTAGCTTGCCTGATTAAGATTGTGAATGCACTTAATTTGGCGAAATAGAAACACGTTGAGCTTCGACACTAGTTAATTTTGAAATGCAGCTTTGGCTTGACTTGAGCACTAAGTGCAAATCACCAAGAAAACAAGAACAGGCCAGTATGTGGTTAAGCTTAGCTCCTTTGCAGCCATAGTTGGTTGTTTTATCTCTTTTTTACTTTGCCTCTTGAGGGATTTCAATCTACAACAGGTGAATAAGCAGATTGATTTTCAATTTCAAACATTTTTAGAATCAGAAAGTTTTCATCAATTTACCTTTTAAAGTAGACTTGCTTGATAGCATAGCATTTTGCATTTGGAATCTTGAACGTATTCAATGGTTGGTTGACTTACAACCTGAAAATGCATCCCCATTGACTATTCCATTGATTATTGAGCAGTACTTTGCTCTGGTTGTTTGGCAGCTGGCACAATTGGGAGAAGCATAAATTATTTGTAATGATGACCTTCATGGTATTTATGTTAGGATTTTGAAGAAAATGTTTCATTTTTTGGTGCAATTCTCATTTTTTTCCTTTCCTTTCACATAACTGAAAATAGAAGCAGCTGCATGAATTCCACTTGAGTATTAATGAGAAGTTTCATTGGGTTGCATCTATTTTATCGTATTCAAACAGGTACTTGCCTCTGCTTGATATTCTTCGGAGTTGCAATTTCCTGAGTGAGTTGGAGCAAAAAATAGGATATTGCATAGATTGTAATTTTTCAATAATTCTTGATAGAGCTAGTGAAGATTTGGAGATTATTAGGTCTGAAAGGAAGAGGAACACGGAAAATCTAGATTCTCTGTTGAAGAAAGTATCAGCTCGGATTTTTCAGGGGGGAGGTATTGACAGACCGCTAATAACAAAGCGTCGATCTAGGATGTGTGTTGGTATTAGGGCGTCGCATAGATCTTTGCTTCCAGATGGTATAGTTCTGAAAATTAGCAGCTCTGGAGCAACATACTTTATGGAACCCAAAGAAGCAGTGGAGTTGAATAATTTGGAAGTAAGACTTTCAAATTCTGAAAAGGTGGAGGAGCAAGCCATTTTGAGCTTGTTTACATCTGCGATTGCTGAATCAAACATAGAGATTAAGTATTTGTTGGATAGAATTCTTGAACTTGATCTTGCTTTAGCAAGAGCTGCTCATGGTCAGTGGATGCATGGTGTCTGTCCGAATTTAACGACAGACGGTTTTGAATCTTATGAAACTGATTCTAACTATGGCAGTTAAGTGTTCTACATTGCAGAAAATGAAACGGGGAAGAATATACCTCGGAAGCGCCGTATGATAGGTGTGACTCCGGCTTGCGCAGGAGAAGCTTTGGTGGCACACCTCTCGCAAAACTCCGGAACTGGCGAAGTCCGTCGGGAGGAAGCACGTGAACTGCCGGCCTGTAGGTTGCCGGGTCGAACGGGCGGACGCTCAAGGGGAGGAGCTCAGCGTCTGGGTCCACCTCGTGATCCGGGGGAATCCCGCCCCATGAAATATCATTGCCATGTCAAAAGTGATGTGAAGATGGCCGGAAGAGAGAAAATCGGGCTAGAATGCGAAGGGTCAACGGAAGGTCAACCCCAAGAGGGCGGAAAATGGTCGGAAAAGCCGAAGTGTGGAAAAGGCACAGAAATCAAGAAAAACCTGAAGGAAACAAGTCCCGAGTGGTAAAAATCGAAAAGGAAACACCGAAACGAAGTTTCGTTCGGATGAAAATGTTCGAAACGCGAAGAACTTCGCGAATCAAACAACGAAATAGGCCCTAAAATCGAGGAAAACGGCGAATGGGAGAGAGGAAAATACTCTAGGGAGAGGGGGGAAGGAATTTTGGCCAAGAGAAAATGAAAAGAATAGGGCTAGAAGCCTTATTTTATAAAGCCTATGTTGAAATGACCAAACTGTCCCGACTCAGCAAGATTTGGCCGGTCGGCCAAACTTTTGGCCAGTCGACTAAATATTTGGCCGGTGTAATGTTTTTATGGCCGGCGAATGGCCGGCGACATCTGCTGATGGCCGGTGAGCCTCCTACACCTTTGTTTGGGTCAGATATGTGGTTTGGGACCTTCATTGCTCAAGACAGTGCAAGAAAAGTGCATTTCCGAAGCTCAACCGGCCCTTGTTTTGACCTCGGACTGTGTCTTTTGTGTGCGGCACTCGAATATGTGCAAGGTGTATCCTTCTTGTATCCTCTTGTCTCTTTCAAGATTTGAAAGTTACCCCGCATGCGTTGCTTTGCAATGCTTCGTCGTGAACATGTGTTGGTTGTACGTACTTTCATTCACATTGATATGCATCTTTCATTTGCATTAGTTCACTTGCATTGTTATGCATTTCCCCAACGGACGGTCTGGCGAGACCTTAAACACGCATGGTCTGGTGAGACCTTAAACCCGCTTGGTCTGGCGAGACCTTAAATCCGCTCGGTTGCATTGTCGTGCATTTCAAGCGACTTGCGTTGTCGCACATTCCAGACAACATGCATTTCAAACAAAAAAAAAAAAAAAAAAAAAAAAAAAACAAAAACAAACAAAAACAAAAACAAAAAACAACAAAAACAACATGCATCATTTGCATTTAAAAAAAAAAAACAACATGCATATGTCATGCATCATTTTAAGTATTGCATATGTCATGCATTTCATTATAATATATTGCATATGTCATGCATTCCACTGTGAATATATCCATTCCACTGCATATTGTAGATGTTGCATTGTAGCTTGCATGCATTCACTGCATCACTTCCATCTAGGGTTTGCGCCTTTCCTTGTTGAGCTTGGTTTGGTATGTGCCCATACTGTTCACGTCTATACACTCATAGTTCTGTATGACCGTTCTATGTTAGACGTGGTTTGTTTGTGTCCATGCCTTTCCTAGGTAAGATACGGTTTGGTCGTAGGCCTTAGTCCACTGTGTCCATTCCATTGCATATTGTAGATATTGCATTGTAGTTTGCGTGCATTCACTGCATCACTTCCATCTAGGGTTTGTACCTTTCCTTGTTGAGCTTGGTCTGGTATGTGCCCATACTTTTCACATCTATACACCCATAATTCTGTATGACCGTTCTATGTTAGACGTGATTTGTATGTGTCCATGTTTTTCCTAGGCAAGATTTGGTTTGGCTGCATGCCATATCCATTGTACATATTACATTGTAGTGTAATTTTTGCATCCTGCATTAGGATCATTGGTCTTTCTTCAGCGGGTCATTTCCCCACTTATGTCATTCCACCCAATTACTTGTTCCTGTGTCCGTCTACATTACTCATAGTTCTACATGTGTACGCGCCTATTCTACTGCTGGTATTGTGGTTTGAGGGTTACGGCACCTTTTCTATGGTAGACGGACTTTGCATCTCCATCATCTCTATGACATTTGTGTGGTTTTGAACTGCTTATGATTTGTTCATGTTTCAAATACATTGCATATCATTTGCATTATTTCAAATACATTGCATATCATTTGCATTGTTTATACATAGTTTTGTATATATTGCAGTAGCATTTTGCATTCATTTCGCATTGTCATGCATGATTGCTAACAATATTGCACCTGTTGAGTTCTCTTTCTCTTTCAGGCACGATATTGTATGTACGGTTCATTTGAGGCTGGTGCAACTAGACGAATCGGGCAGGTATTGTATTCTCCGAGTGAGACGTATCGAGAATTACATAATTCTCTTACATCCTTTCTGCATTGTAATGTAGTTGAATTTGTGTTTGATTGCTTAAAACTGTCGTATGTTATGCTTCGTTACAGCTTTCTTTGCATGATCATAAATTATGTTCGGCTTCTTGCATTATCAGTTGCATTTTGCCCCTGCCTTCGGGCGCATATCTTTGCTTGCCTTGCATACTTTGTCTAAGTCTTCGGCCTTGTCAAAAATGGGTCGTCTCTGGGCTTTGACATTCACTCCCGTCATTCTTATGACTTTCGAGTTAGACACCCCATTTTTTACCGTTCTCAAGACTTGGACGTCACCATTCGAACACTCGGTGATCATCCACGTTTGTGTTCATCTTGAGTTCCCGGAGGTCTCGGCCACGCGCCTTGCCTCAGGATCTCTCGACTTGACTGTTTTGTGTTTGGTTTTGCACTAAACACTTGTGTTTTGCCTTGGAGGGGCAGGGAATGGCTTGTGGGCCATCCCCACACATCACCGGCCATGGCTTGAGGCCACCGGCCACTGTTTTGTTTCCACCGGCCAGATGTTTGGCCGGTCGGCACTATAGATGGTCGGTCATCCATTTATTTTGTCAAAATAGCATTTTTGGCTGGCTGATCACTGTGCATCTACTTTTGCAAATATTTTTATGCCAGCTGTGCTAGCTGGCATACACCTTTTCCCTCCTCTATACACGTGTATGGAGGGATTACACTCTTGCCAAGCTTGTTTTGTAAGCTTTGTGTCACGACCCGAACCCACCCCTATGGGTTAAGGCCATAGCAGGCCAATAATCGTGAGATTACCTACGGTCTCAAATCAAACCAGACAAAACTCATCAGCGTAAAGGGGCCAAACGGAAACAAATTTTTAACTTCGTCCATAGAGCTGTGCTTACATGGCACATCATAACAATCCATACGAAAACATGTTAATAACTCACGTCAAAAAGATACAGCAACATAAAATTCTGTATAGACAAGATCATTCAAACGTAAGTCAACCCGTCAAAACTATATACCACAGATGCAAAATCTTCACCGACATGACAAAATATAAATACACAGCAAAGGGATAAAGACGGGTCTCGTACTTGAGACGCAAGGGCTGACTCTCCAAAACTCGGTTGTCCCATACTGACTTCACTGAGGCTGGGTCTGGACCTCTCTTGGCTCACCTACAAGCACATGAATGAGCATGAGCGAGAGCCCAGTGAATAATATCAAATAAAGAATATACATTGGAATAATATACATCAAACGGCCTCGGGCCCAATTTGCGTTTCTAACTAATACATACTCACATAGACATATGTAAGTTAAGTAACTGTGGTTCCAAACACATCATACGGCCTCGGGCCAAATTCATTCGTTTCATTGTCAAAGCATTACTCATGTCAAACTGGCCTTCAGCCTTTTCAAACTTTCATATCAAACTGGCCTTAGGCCTATTTACACTTTCGTGTCGAAGCGGCCTCTGGCCCATTCAATCATGTCTTGTCAAAACGATCTTCGATCCATTCATTTATGTCAAAACGACCTTCGGTCCGTTCATTTATGTCAAAACAACCTTCAGTCCATTCATTTGTGCCAAAACGACTTTCGGCCTAATCATTTATGTCAAAACGGCCTTCGGCCCAATCATTCATGTCAAAACGGCCTTCAGCCCAATCATTTATGTCAAAGCGGCCTTCGGCCCATTCATTTCTATCAAAACGACCTTCGGTGTATTCATTTCTGTCAAAACGACCTTCGGTACATTCGCTTACGTCAAAACGGCCTTCGGCCCATACATTCGTGTCAAAACGGCCTTTGGCCCACTCATTCATTTCAAAACGACCTTAGGTCCATTTATTTCTATCAAAACAACCTTAGGTCCATTTATTCATATCGAAACGACCTTCGGTCCATTCATTCGTTCATGTCAGACTTTTGTCCACAATCCCAATTAGCAACTCATAAAGCTTATAAGGGAATAAACAGTTGGACATTGCTAAGCTTTCAAATATCGATATTACTCACAGTGATCGGCTTGTGGATTTGCCCTAGAACTTGACCCTACACATTTCATGAACACAAAAGGGTCACTAACAGTTCAATCTGTTCTTTAATTTACACATTTCTTTTTAGGCTTTATTCTTATCTCGTTAACTCATTTACAATGCTCAATGCATGCCTAAGAGTGCTTACAAGTGAAAGAGAACGGAAAACGACACACAGAACGAGCATACAAAATTTCAGAAAACAGGGTCCACGCTCGAGCATGGACTTACCCGCTCGAGCGAACCTAAGAAGCCTGCAAAAGTACTGGTTACCTCAAAATTACGCTCGAGCGTGAGTTAGGGCGCTCGAGTGGAAGGCTTGTCTATAAAAGCTCCTCGCTCGAGTGTTAAATATCCCGCTCGAGCGGACATCCAACTCTGCAAAAAGTGCTGGGAGCATGATTTTCCCGCTCGAGCGGCAATCACCTCGCTCGAGCGGACATAAAAAATCTGGGTTTTCCAGATTGAGTTCTTGAGCTCCCTTCAACATTCAAACCATCATTTCTTGCCTTTAATGGCTCCAATTTCAC